TGCTGGGAATCTATTGGGACGCTGTTTTAAAGACTGTCGCAAATAATAACAGTGGTATTTTAACGTTAAGGAGTAACGTTAATAATAACCTTACTTCTTAGTAAGAAAAACATCCCTTAGAATGTTTAGCAGGAATATTAGGGAACAATCTTGGTGCGAAAGCAGCACCTTATTTGTAACATCGTTTACAGACGAGGTTGTCACTGGTCAACAGATATCATTCGAATGATCAGTATAAAAGACGTATTTATAGCCATTGGGGGGAGCGATTGAGTTAGCGTGTCGTTGCGTGTATAATGTGCGTTTGTGGGTCTTCTGTGTTCAAATTCCTTCTCTGCATTAGATGTAAAATTCGTGTGCAAATGTAAAATTAATCTTATGCAAATGTGAATGTAACTAGTGTAGAAAATAATGTAACCAAGGGACAATAATGTTTTTTTACAATTTTGAGTTTGACATTGACTAGCGTCACCTGGGTCTTGCGACAGTTAATGACAGTTACTAGCTAACGGTAGTAAATTTTACTAGGTTTGTTAGTAACCTTTACTAGCTTCTTGGCCTAGTAATCGTGACTAGATTGACCGTTTCTAACTACGGTTACTAGGCACCTAGTAACATATGTGACAAGCGGTTACTAACATTTGCCTAGTAAATATTACAAACTTTTTCGATTGTATTATATTACTGGAGATGCCATTTTCCTCGTACAGTTGTCACTCGAGGGCTTGCGAATTTCCGTCCCGCAGCAGACGCTGCGAGACAGAAATGTTTGAGTTGTTAGCCAATCTACTCATTTGCCAAACTACTACAATGTATTCGGAATGCATCGTCGTATCAGACAAGGGGTGCCGGACGTAGACGTCCAGCACGTGCCTGTTTCGCAATCGTGCGAAGCCCTTTGTGCTTCCGCAGAGTCTCTTCGGCATCGAGCGCCATGCTCGCAACTGCTATGGGGAAGCCTGGTTACACCGACATGTCCATTAGGACACCTGACCTCCAGTGGCAGTACGGGTGGGATGCATTGCCTACCAAAGACAGGCTGTGGTACCTTCCGACCGATGCTTCAATTGTGTTTTCCCAGAAAGCAGTCAACATGTACTAATAATTTGTGCCGTCGTGCAAACATACAGACATCTGGTAGCAATGTTTTTTTGGTGTGCGCCTAAGAAAAATGACTTTCATTGATACCAGAACTATTGTGGGAATACAATAGAAAATGTGTTGTGAATATCGGCGGTTAAGCACATTAGTACAAATACTATGGTTTTTGCGGGAGAAAATCACGATAACTTCGAGAATGAGCCCGTATACTCTGGGGGAACGAGAGATGCTCCAACGGTAGCATTTATTATTCTGTGAAACTAAAGTCAAACCCTCCCCAACTGCAGTGTTGCAATCATTTAAGCATCGTTACAGAGGAGTATGTGTTCCACTGCCTGCGCGACTGGCCGCTAGATTTAGTGGTTACAAATGTAACGAAGTGCGGCCTGAGCGTTAAACATTCTTTGTAGAGAACCTGATAATATGTAATTAATTATTTTCTGTATTAACCTTTGGCTGAAATTTTCTGACCGTGGTAGCAAACTGAAGAACGCCGCTAAAACTAAGCGGGCAAAGAGCGCCTGGGACGTCGATCCCTTCACTTGGCGCCAGCTTGGCACTGCTGATATCACTTGCGGTGAGGACACCTGGGTTGCAGAGCCGATGCACATCGAAGGAATGACGTCACAAATAATCTTTACCGGGTTAGATTCAATCTAAAGCCATATACAAGGGTAAGATGTTTTGACCCGTAGCGCTAGCCACGATTTTTTTTCATCAAACTTTCCCGTCACGGCCACAGTGTAATGGGGTCTAGCGTGAAATCACCAATATTGTGCCCGAAAAACCAAACAAAAAAATGACGTTTTGAACCCTTTTTAGTTTTTAGGCCAACCAATTAGCTCGCCTCTTTTCTAGCGGCCCCGATGGCCACCAAGTTGAGTTGAGTGCTTTATTTTTTTTTTTTTCCAGAAAACGGAGATGGCCACCAAAATAACTCCAGGGCTTATAAATCCCTAACGAAAGTTGCCCGTTATTTAAAAACAATTTGCATCCACTGAGAAATCCTCTATGCACAGGGAAGCTGAGGGAGTGGAGGAGGCGAGAGCGCATGGGGACCTCAGTTTGACGAAACCTGGGGCCCTGATTTGGACACTTGGCGAGGAATTCGGCTGCCGTGATTGGCCGGTGCCGCGCTTGACCCTGACGCTGGCCAATCCCGGTGGTCAAATCCTCCACCGACATTTTCGCCAAGACTCCATATTAGAGCCCCTGGTCGGGATGATTAGAGGTTCGACACGAAGCTACCATCTGCCTTTGTCTCTACTCGCACTTCGAATGCGTTTGATTGCCAGATGCCGGCGTCCACCTTTCCGCGTTTGCATTCGAACGCGATCGAATAGGGAGCAGAGGCGAAGGCAGCTAGCTTTGTGTCTAGCCACAAACCAATCCAGTCAAAGCTCGGGCGTTTTAACATCACCCCGTCGCCACGCGCTCTCGTCTTCTCCTTTCCCAGTTTCGTGGCGCAAGGTGCAATTAGCGAAGCGGGCGACGAAAAGCGTCGCTGTGGTCGGCCTTCCACGAATCGCCAAACGCTCACTATGATGTTTTGAGTAAGAATAATGCTATTTGTGCTAATGTAAATACGAGGAATGTCAGACTGATTCAAAGACGCGATGATTACAAGGTTCAACCGTGCATTTTAATGACACCATCAAAATCTTCGCTGGTAATCAAAACATAGGGTCTCTTATGTTATCCCTAAGACGACTAGAAGGCGAAAGCCCAAGCGCCGATGCATTAAAGACAGACACATGATTAACGGATTTGGTGGCTCCCCTCCGCTGTGGCGGAGAGGCACTGCGTCGGATTACTGAGCGAAAGGTCGCTGGCTCGTCGCTGGCCGAGGGACAAGAGCGAAAAGTCTTTTCGGAGGAATATAGCGCCGAGGTGGAGTGTCGGGGAGTTGGTAATTCATAATGGTTTTAAAAGCAGAACAGGACATCGGACAGAAGGAAGACACGGACCAGCACTACTTACAACTGAACTTTATTTTCGTTGGCAGTCGATATATATACCGGCTCCATTAAAAACAAGTTAAGAAAGATATACAAACGCACATTGTTAAAAAGGCTAAAACTGTGACATCACACATCACACCATCTCAAACTAGTCATCTCTTGTTGAGGAACAGCAATTATTTTGTTTCCTACAAGTATATGGAGGGTGGCCCACACACTGCAGCCCCAATCTACCAATTTCTTGGGCCTCAATTATTTCTCATGTGAATATAGTGCCTCCGCCTATTCAGGCACAAGCAAGGCCATCTCGTGGTCCAGTGGCAAACCACGGGTTTCGGTACATTTCCCGGCGCCGGTTGTCGTACGTTTCGTGTCGCCGTCGAGTTTTGGTAGGTTTGCAGTCGTCTACGTGTTTTCGCTAAAGGACTTTGAAGGTCAACTGAACGACGAGACATGTAAGGCTTTCGCCTTAATAATTGTGGTCGTGACGTCAGAAATAGGAAACATACGGAGGATCCATGGAAACATCTCTTCGCCAAAAGCAAACGTCTGTATAACTAGACAGAGCGCGACACGAGACCGCTGACGGGGGTGCAGGCGTCACAAGAGCGCATGGTCGCGCTGTAGGAGGTTTCAAAGGTGGTATTCGTGACTGAGCAGATACCTAGGCCACTCTACCTAAGCTAGGGGGATCGGTGGCCGAGTGGGCTAGCGCGCACCAGCTCGGAGCACGTGGAGCGAAAGCTCGCGCTGCAGAACACAGGAATCCTGGGTTCAATCCCCACCCCTGCCCGTTTCGATCTGGATGAGCTTCGTACCCGCGTGCGGTCGTATATCACTACTGCGTGGGGCACGTTAAATAGGCCAGGCTAGCGGTTGTACTGTACTGGCTAAATTGCTCATCTACAGCGAGTGACTCGTCGCAACTTTAAAATGACGGATGAACAACACGCTTTATAAATATACAAACAACCACACCTACTATTATTCCACTTAAGCTGTACCTAAGTGGTTACTATTCGATGAAGTAGGCAGCATTTACGAGGTCGTGTTCTCCCGTCTGAACCTAATTGATGGGACAGTTCTTCGCGTATTTTTTTTTTAGAAACTGTAATTTAGAAACTTCGGAAACGGTGATATCTTGTATCTTTAAAAACAAATTTGTGAAATATTTTTACCAGTCAAAATTGATTGAAGGGCATCGTTTTTTGTCATTTACAAGCAAGAATTGCAAATGACCCAAAAGTAACTCCATAAGCTGTGGCTATCTATATATTTAAACGCCGACTACAAACACATCGTCTAGTTTGGTTATTAATAACCCAGTCTGCTAATTCTGTCACGGCACGACCAAAGGGAGGAAAAAAGATTCTGAGCAAAATGATCCCGTACCAAATTGTCCCGTAAAGAATGGCGCACCGATATTAACTTTCGTTCACACAGTTGCGTCGACTGCGTCGCGCTGCGTGACGTCGTGCATCCCAGCGCCTCCCCATTGGTTCGTCGTTAGGGTCACCATAGCAACAGCTCGTCGCAAGCAGTCTTAAAGAGATGCAAGTGGTTGCAGACGCACTCGAACGCAACTGTGTGAATGAGTTTTTAGGCTTGGTTGGATTCAGTCAACCTTCAACGCGTCATACAATTGCGTCATGCATTCGAATGTAGTCTCCAGTTCGCGATTCTGCAACCCACCCATTGTTCCTGTTAGCGCTCTCGTGACGCGCGCTCTAATGGCAAGCGACCTCGTGTCGCGTGCTCTGCTTTTATGCGCTCTGGAGGTGCTCACCCATAGCGAACATGTTTGGACTACAGTTACCAAACATTTTTGCGTGCGAATAAAATCAATATGGAAGAGATGCCGCATGTACATTATTTATTTCCTCTGCTCAAGCCGTCGTAAAATGGAACCCATAACAAGGATGCCTGTTAATCCCCGGTGACCTACACAACGTTTTTACAGATTGCGTGGTTGAAGTTGAGGTACGTCTCCAGTTCGTAGGTGACGAACGTGAAGGCAAACTCGCAGCATCTGGGAATAAAGTTGGTCTCGTTTGTATTCGCCCAGAGTTCATAATCTACAAAAAGAATGAGGTAAATGTTACTTGACAGTGTTGCAAAGTCAAAGATTGTCGACAGTGCTTAGTCAATTGACCAATTGTCGGGGATTACAATTTTAAGAACGTCTAGTATTGCGAATACTAAAGAATCTCGGAAACAAACTAAAATAAAATCACTTGCTGTGAAGTACTCTGGCTCATTATGAAACATAAGGACCACTTCACATTCTTCCAATGCAAAAAAAAAAAAAGATATACAAGTTAATTGATAAAAAATTCAAATGGTCAAACACGTGAAGAGAAAATACATGAAAAACACTTAAGCTTCGCTTTTAAGAGTGGAACGCGATAGCGTTATCGGGCCCTGTACGCACCCCGTTCTCATTCGCTTGTCGTGTTCTTCCAGAGAGCAGGAAGTGAGGTGGACCCAGAAGTCAGTCAGGCGTGTCTGGACTCTGGCTCGCAACCGGAGTGTCGCGGGTTCTAACCTCGCTTACAATTTTTCCGATTTTTTTTAAAATGCAGATGAATTACTTTTTTAAAGTGGAATTATTTGAGAATCGCGGAAACCTTTAGTTCGCATTACATGTCGTCTTTTAATTACTTTCATTCCACGCGGGAAGTTACGTTTAAAGGGAGCGTAGTGTGTGGTTAGAAATTTCCGCGCAAGGTCATGTGGCTATGACGTCATGACGCTAGCGACCAGTCAAGATTTTCGCGTCACGCCAGATTTTCTGGCACGCCACCAAGGACAGCTTTTCGCGAGCTCCTTAACGCTATCGCTTTTTAAAAGAGCACTTGGAATGAGAGGTAGAATGCTTCGCTGAAGATACCAACACAAATAGGCTGAGTTACTCAGCCTATTTGTGTCGGTAAACGAATTTTACATTGACTATAAGCCAGAAGAAAACATTAGCTTTGATATAGTAAACGTTCCAAAACAAAGGAAGACTCACCACTAGTATCGGGGTAGTACAATACAAAGCACTTGTTTTTTTTCTCTGTGTACAAAACCTGGCTTTTCCGTATGCGTCGCATGTCTGTCAGTAGCAAGGGTTTCGTCAACGAGATAACAATTTAGTTCACTTCCTCAATTTAATCGTGTTTTGAAAAAGGCAGTGCACTAACACTATACCTATTTTGTACTTAAAAACACCCACGCACACTTACACACACACACACTTCGGTGTATTTTTTACTGAATTAGAAGTACAGATCTAATACATTTTAGTATGCCTCGTATTTTAGTAGTGCGGTCCGTGCGTATACCTCGCCTGGCAAAAAATAAGTATATACCAAAAGACAACGTATTGTTAGAAAGAAAGAAAGGAAGACGAAGTGGAGCTCACGCCGGAAAAGCGCGTGCATCTCGTGTTTGGCGAAACGCTGCTTCGAACAGATCATTGCTTTATTTATTTAGTCTCAGAGCCGTTAGGAGTTAGAAAGAGCAGTGCTTGAAAACAATTAAAACACATGTAGAGCATATAACAGTTATGATTACAAGTGCCCATAATGCAACGCGGTTTGCATTATGGTCAAAAGGTTGGACCTACGCGATCTTTATTCCAAGTCAACACATCAGTGTCTTAGAGCAGCTTATTCCTCGATAATCACTGAAGCTCCAAGACTATCGTTTTGCGGTCGATTATAAATCAGGAACGCGACACTTCAATTCTGGCAGCTTATCTCAATGCCTCTTCACAAAGACGCATTTCTTCCTCAGCGGGTACATACACCAGATACCACATACAACCATAACATAAATATGTGCGCAGCACAACTGTCTGACGAGTTCCTCAAGCCGCTGATTCAATTCTTGAAAGGACTAACAACACGTTTTCCTCATCGCACCAAAACCTACGCCCTTCACACTTTATAATAAGGTTCTTTACCGACGTAACTACGAGCTTCTAGTGATCCCTCGACACCCAAAAATGTTGTCGAGGCTAATCACGACAGCCTTAAACAGGTCTCCTGGGATTTTCGAAAACGTTTCAGGATCTACGATTTTGTTTTTGCATCCGAATGTGTAATACTAGTAACAAGTACGTCTGCGCATCGCACTCATGCAAAAAAAAAAACATAATTTACAACGACTTTTTTTTTTTTTTCAAATTTCTACGGCCAATGAAAAGTGAAAAACGAAGAATCAATGGATAGTTGTAGCCACCTTCAACTTAACACGGTACGCCGGAACCAAAGCGCTTTCTGCTGCCACGGCCTTTCACAGTCGATTTCTGTCTGCGCTGTACCGTCCTCAGACATGGCGCTCCCCGGCCTATCATCACGGATCGCGGTACACCGTTTGTTGCAAACCTTCTTTAGAAAAACTGCTGCCTTGTCAGCACGATTCACCACATTACTACTGCCTATCCTTTCCAAACAAATCGATTGAGAGAACGCTTTAATCATACACGAGGCGAGATAATTATCCTGTATATTGCAGATGACAACAAAAATTGGGACTCCAATTTGCCTTACATTACATCCAATCAATTAATCTACACTCTTGCAGTATAATGTATTATCAGTAAACTAAATACACTTTAGGGATAGTATATGAAGCTTGTCATGAAAGTACAAAATAAGTATATATTTAGCTCGTTACGTCTTATCCAGAAAGAGCAGGTTCCCTACAAATTCTGAACTACAAACATTGTTCTTTATTTAGTCAGTTCTCTGCTCAATTTCACTCTGATTACGTCGAAACGCACGTTCAGATATTTTTCACAGCTATTAAACACTACTTAGAAATTTCCCGATCCAACAAATAAAAAAAATCTTAAAAAAGAACGTTTTCGAAGCTTCGAAAGCGACAAGGACGGTAAATATTTTACTTAAGCATTCGCAGTCGCTTAAAGTAATAGCTTTAAGAAGTACCATCTTTCAACATTTAACGAATAACGACTGTGCTTCCCATCTCGCTTACCCAAGAAACAGGTTGGTTCGCAAATCTTCATAAGAGTATGCATGCGCCTTGACATTGGTTAAGGGAGGGATCATTTTTAAGATATTTATACTACATCAACGAAAGGGGAAAACGAACATACTCATTCACACCCTCCCCCCCCCCCCCTCTAGTTTCAGCGAGTTTATTTAATCAGAACCGACAATGATTTCAAAGAATTAATGTAATGCATGAGACATTTGCAATTATTGGAAATGTATTATTAGACCTACAGATTTGTCTAATGTTTGCCCGTGAAGGTAAATTAATATGTTTAATATACTTTAACATTGGCCACTTACCCTTTCTAATCCATTCAATAGTACTTTGTATGCCTCGTACGTCTCTAAGAACAATAGCTGACCCGTTGTATTTTTCTCTGAAATGTTAGATATTCTTACGGTTTTGGGATACTTTGGAAATTTTTAGCATTGCTGTTCGCTCTTCTACTCACGTTATTCGTAATGATGCATTATACATATAAACTTCATAATGAATAACGTTTACACCAGGAAACGTCTCCGTTACATTAAGAGCCACACAATCGTATGGACGATGACTTGTTCCAAGCATGAGGTAATATACTCCTTCTTTGTTGATGGCCTGCAAGAATAAAAATAATAAATTAAAATATGTGCAGCATTCTTTTTAGTTTCACCTAAATTTAGAGTACGTTGTGCGTTGGCTGCTTGCGAGTTGCAAATTGAATTGGGACATGAAGCATGACATTTGCCTATTTGTTTTTGAAGAGTATAGTAGCCATTGGGTAAAATGCGTGATGTGTCGGATACGGTATTTGTTTTATGATTAACCTAGAAAGGGTTGTGAATAACGTGGGTGTTCGCCGTGTATAGCGAACACGACCTATTGGGCCCAAATAACGGCGGACGCAACCGGAGACGCCGGGAGAAGAGAGCCTGGTGGCGAGCCACGGAGAAGCACGGGACGCCTGGAAAGAACAGACTGGGCGCGGTCGCAGGCTAGAAAAGTCGATTCTCGTAACACAAACCGATTGTATTCAAGTTAAATAAATATATCCTTGCATTATCCCAAATTAAGCGGTACATCACAATGGAGTCGAGGATGGGATCCATGCAACAAAGACAGATGTAAACAACTGAGCGACATCGGAACAAAGGAGACAGCGGTAACGTTAATGACGCTCATCTGAAACCTAAAGAATGCATCGCATCGGGAAAATTGAAGAGTTCGATCAGAAATTGGAATTATGATTTTCGTACATCGAAAGAATCGAAGTGTTCTCCGCTGCGAACGACATTCCGGAATCAAAGCTAGCAGATGTTCATCTCACAATCGTTGGACGAGAAATCTACGGACTGATACGGAACTTGGCGGCACCTGCCAAACCAAGCATCAAGACGTGCGTACAAATCGTTCAACTAGCGTAGAACCACATCGACCCCACGCCCAATGGAACGATTGAACGCTGCAAATTCTATCACCGAAATCGGCTGGAATCCGAAACTATCGCTGACAGTCTATAGCTGAGCTTAAACAGCTTTCACTGTAAAGCAATTTCGGCGTTTCCCTCAAAGACCGACTTCGAGACAAGCTCACTGACGGCATTAAGCACGATCATGAACCTTACTAAAATAGCAGCAATTACAGACACTGCGAGCGGGGCCATCCCTGCTGACGGGGTAAATTTGCTGTGTTTCGGGATTACCTTATTATCGGGGGTAAATTATTTTTTCCTGCTTTTATGTCTTACAACAACAGCAATGCTTCTCCCTGCCCAATGAGGTGTGGAAACTGTATACGAACCGCTCAGGTGCGCCCTTTAGTTTTCTTTTAAATTTAAACCCACAATCCATTTGAAATAAGCATGATGGCCTAAGCATCATTTTAGAAGGTTTCAATATTCTTTTTGATATAATTATGTTCACTAAAACGTGGACTGACGCGAAAACTGATGTTCCAATTTTAGAACCATACAAAACGTACTCCGTAAACCGCTCTTCACAGCGAGGAGGCGGTGTTTTTATGTATGTAAAAACTAATCTTAACTGCACCGAAATTAGTGACTTCACGACAGTGAAACGCGATTATGAAGTTTTAACGGTCAAACATTCCAAGTGCGAGTACTGCGTGATATAGCGCCCTCCGAATGGTGATATTTCTTGTTTCATAAAGATCATTGCCGATTTGTTTGTGTTTATTGGTGACAATAATCTCACTTTGTTCTTTGGGGGAGACTTAAATATTGATATGCTCTATTCATCACCGAGGCAGCTAGAATTTTTCTGCTTATATCAGACGTACGGATACTTTAACCGAGTCTCTAAAGCCACGCGAATAACTCCTGTGAAAGAAACATTACTTGATTTGTTTCTAACAAATGCCGACGAATCTCACGTGTCCGGAGGTGTCATTGTAACCACGATAAGTGACCACCTACCAATTTATATGCTTGTCGACTCGAAGGTCGGGATACAGAAGGATGGAGATGACTGCCCAGTTTATTATCGAAATAGCACTGCAGAAAATCTAGATGCATTTGGAGCTGAGATTTGCCGTACTGATTGGAGCACGGTGTCTTCCAGAGTTTCAGCTGACGCGGCATATGATTACTTTATTGGGATTTTTACAACGATATATGAAAAACGTTTCGCGTACAAAAAGCAACTTGCCCACAGGAAGGCTCGGAAGCCTTCGGCGACAAAGGAGATAATCAAAATGATGAGTAAAAAAGACGCTCTCTAGCACAAATGCATTCAATAAAAAAACCAGGTGTGCTGGCGTTATTTAAAAAGCAGCAAAATGCTGCGACAAGTGCTTTACGTAAGGCTAAGCGTGCGTATTTTTATGCTGCGTTTGAAAATGAGCGACGAATAGATATTATATGGGAGAAGCTTAACTCATTTGTGCGGCGTGGCCCTTTCGAATCTACAGCCATGAAGCTTAACATCGAGGGGTGGGGAGGAGTGGTTTGGCATTGACTGAAATATTTAATAAATATTTCGTAAACATTGTAAAGAATGGTAACGATGGCGATGAATTTTCATTTGTGAAAGGTGTCTCTGACACACTTTTTCTTGCCCCGAGCGACGCGGAGGAAGTGGCGTCAGTTTTTATGAACCTTGGAAATAGCAAAAGTACTGACATAGATGGTGTTGAAACGAAATCTCTGAAATATGTAATTAAATCAATTGCTCCTCTTTTAACCCATACTTCATACTTTCAATTTGGCACTTCAAAATGGCCATTTTCCTAGAAAAATGCAAGTTGCAATGGTTACGGTTATTTTCAAGTCTGGGGATCAAAACCACCTGGGAAATTATAGACCTGTTTATGTGCTTCCAGTGCTTTCAAAGGGGCTAGAGAAAATAATACACGCCATATGATACGCCTTCTGCGAAGAACACTCTATCCTAACAACTTGCCAGTTTGGTTTTAGGAAGGGGCATTCGATGGAAATCGGGCTATTAAATCTGAATGAACTAATTTTAAACAGCATCGAAAGAAAATTTATCACCTTGGGGGTCTTCATTGATTTATCAAAGTCTTTCGACCGTCTAAATAATAAAACTCTGCTTCAAAATTTAAATGCATACAGGGTGCGAGGAGTAGCCTCAACGAAGATCGAGAGTTTTTTTCTTTTTTTTTTTTCTTTTAAATATCGGCATCAGTGTGTCGTGATTAATAGTCAGCGCTCTAGCTTGAAGAAACTAACGTCAGGGGTGCCACAAGGGAGCATCCTTTGAACCCTTCTGTTTACCTTATGCATCAATGATATAGTAAATATAGACGACAGTGCTGATTTTATAATTTACGCAGACGACATCAGCTTATTCTTTTCGGGGAATGTTGTCCACCAGATTTTATGTTCGGCAAATAGCGTTTTGCAAAAGACAAGTGACTGGACAATCTCAAACTCTTTAGTAATTAATACAGATAAGAAAACAATACTTTTTCGATCCAAAAATACGGTGTTTTCATCTACACAAGGGCTCTCTCTCTAAGGACGAAATATTGACTTTGTACAAATTGTGAAGGTTCTTGGTGTGGTATTTAATAAGTACGTGAGCTGGGACGCCGAAGTACAATGCATAGCTGGCAGACTTTCAAAAGTTCTGGGCATTATTTATAAATCCCGTCATATCTTACCCCTTTCGGTCTTAATTTTTCTTTATAACTCCCTCTTTTGCTCTTGCTATAATTACTGCTTCCTTGTTTCGGGTGGCACAACGGCTGCAAACGTGCCTCACTTGCATGTTCTCCAGAAGCGAATAATTCGAATTATGTGCAATGCGGAGTTCAACGCTCACACATTACAACTTTTCAAAAGCCTTCATATAGTTCCCATTACAGAGCATTATAATTATAAATTTCTTCTAACATATCAAACGTCTGCAATGCAAAATGAACTTGTTTTTCTATCAATCGCCCCAATGGAGCGGAGAGTGCCTGCATATGCAGGCCGTTGTGTTGACACATGGTCAACGCCTCGCTCGAGAACAGGCTACGGCCTCCAGGTGTTGCAGTACTTGTTGCCTAATGTTAAAAATAGTACACATAGACTGGGTGTGGACTTGATGGGTTTGAGCAGAGAGGATATTCCTTCATTGTTTCTCTAGTGTTATGTGTGCCTATTCTTGATGGGACCTCCGACCCTCATAAAATGTTCGTAATCTACGTCAGATTTTTTTTTTGTTTTGTTTTTTGTTTAATGTTATGTGTTTTGATCTTATGTAAACCTTGTTCTACGGGTCACTAGTATGTAAAATAGTTTCTTTCGTTGCTGGTGGGGGGAAAAACTTTGTCAAGCGACAACATTCAGCTTTTTTTTTCTTCCTCCCCCTCTCCCCTGTAGAGAAACAATAAAGTTGAAGTTGAACATTCTCGAAGCGCTGCTGGCTGAACCGACGCTGACATTCAAGGCAGCGGTGGATCTGTCAACGTCGATCGAGGTAGCCATGAAGGATAGAAAGAAAGTAAGGAGCGAGACCCAACAAGATGCTAATCGATTCTCGCAAGGACGGAAGTACAAGACGTCACTTCCGAAGAAGGCAAGCCAAGGAAAAGTAAAATCTCGCACAAGCAGTACCCCATCTCACCGTTGCAGCAAAAGCAATCATGACCCTGAAACAGCATTGCAAGGAACAAGACTTGCAAATTGTTTGGAAGAGCAGGACACTTCAAAATGGTTTGCCGTGACAGGAAGCGAGATAAAAAAAATTCAAAAAGAAAGAATAAACGAAACATTACCAACGATGTCACCATACAGAACTCGGGAGACGATACTCCGTTTTATTTCATCGACTCAAGCTAACCGAAACCCATCACAGTAACTGCAAGGAATTGCAACAAACCTCTTCTGATGGCGACCGACACAGGTTCACCCGTTACTGTGATCAACCTAAAAACGTTTCAAGAAATTCTTCGAGGCATCCAGTTGAAACCTTCGGATATAACGCTGAAGGTGTACACCGGCAAGCCCATCGTGTCAGAATTGATGACTAAAATGGAGATGCGGTACAACTTGCAAGTCAGGCGTCATGAGCTCCAAGTGATGAACAAAGGGGGACCTCCCATACTAGGAAGGGCATGGCTGCAGGATTGTCAAGTGAACTAGAAGGACA